GGGGGGGGGGGGAAAGAACCAAAACGCTCTCAGTCGCGGGTTTCTATTTAAGCAATAGAAAACGTTTTCCGTGTTTGCATAGCCTGATATAAACACGAGAGGAGTTGGGAGAATTCGAGACAGTTATGCAAACTCGAGGCGAAGTCGAGGGTTTGGCATAACTGTCTCGAATTCCTCCAACGCCTCAAGTGTTTATATCAGGCTATGCAAACACAGGAAAAAAGTTTTCTATTGCTTTTATAAAATAACTTTCCCGGGAAAAAAACGCAAAACTCTTTGTATGGCACTGATTAAAAGAGAAATTCTTACCAGTCGCAAAATCTTGTCCACGAAGTCTTGCACGCGTAATCAGCTCTTGTTTTGCAAAAAGATGCTTTGTAAAATACGGATTTTTGTCGCTTAAAATGTCGAGTTTTGAACTCGAAAACTTTTTCAAATTCGTGATTGCGTGAACAACTTGACGCCACAACCATGTTTACATACTACTCTCATTCAAACACTCCTCTCGGCCAATCAGAGCGCGCGTACTATCTTAGTTATTTTATAAAAGGATATTTTGGAAGGTGTCTCATTGAAAGGTCGAGTTTGTTCATGTTTACATATTTTTCTCTAAACTGGTTATGATGCTTCTTAACGTAGCAGAAAGAAGTAGTGTTAGAGGCACGGCAAAAAACCTTCATGACTTACTAGTCCTTATCAACCTACACAATTGTTATTCTTTGCAGCAACCTGGAGTCACTGGGATAAACATGTACTTGGATGGTGGAAACACAAAGACGATGCTAATGTCTTGTTCCTTAAATATGAGGACTTGCAAAAGGTTTGTTATTCGGCATTGTCGGAGAATTACCGGTGAAGTCGTTTTTAGTTTTTGAAATTAATTCTGTTACATTAATTTGGTTTGCGTTGATTAATGCTTAGTGGTGGGTAGAAAACCGAATTAATTAAGCAATTATTGAATGAGACTGGGTATCATCTGAAACATTTATGTGGAGATTGAGGAGGGTGCGGACAACACCCTCCTGGTTTAAAAACAAGCTAAAATAGGCTTACCTCCATCGATGTTAAGTTCATCTTCGATACAGGGGCACCCAATGGCCCTGTTCCTCATAATATCTGTTCTTCAGGCAATTTTTTGCTGGCTGGGAGATTTGGAAAAAATAATATGTCCTTGGAAGGACAGTGAAAGTGTTACTGGGAAATAGACAATTCAGGGTGTCTGAGGGGATTTGGTTCTTTGGTGTTGCGAATAGCTGGTATGTGCTATTTGTCAGGAACCCCCCCTCACTGAATGGCTGAATTTTGCCCTATGACCATACCCAAACTGGCCAGTAATGTCTAGACATACGATTGCTGGGAAACCTTCCCAGTAAGTCAGGTTGCAGGTTGTAGGCGCACCTTGCTGGCTGGGAACTCTTCCATCAGTCTAGCTGGGAGTGAGGAACAGATAAATCATTTTCCCAGCAGTCTCCCAAAATTCTTATAATGATTTCAGAAAGCTTTTTTCATGCTTTATTACTGTGTTGAGGTTTTTTTCTCAAAATTTCCTGTTGCGTGCCCCTGTCGATAGTGCATGTTTATCGGCAAGTTTAGGAGATAAAGGGTTGTTCAGTTTTGCAAATATTTTCCAAATAACAGATCCCGAGATGTCGTACGTCGAGTTGTCTTCTTGCTGTTCTTGCTACGTTTTTAGCTAATGGTTTGCCTACCGGTATTTCTTCTTCGTGAAACGAGTGAAATGTTCCGCCATTTTGTATTCACTACCGAAACAACTCAACCTCGTCCCCATGTCTTCTCGGTTAACCGTTCAATAACCTGCAATTTTGCTGCACGATTGACGTCATCAGTTCACATTTCGTTAAATTCTTCCAAATTTGGTCGATAGTAGTTGGTTATGATGAATTATGCGTGGGATTTTAACCAATCAGAAACGGAGAAATATTTTGAATGAATAATAATATGCTTTATACAGAAGAGAGGTGTGATGTCACATTACCGTGGTAGAAAGATTTCTGGATCTCAACAATTTTTCTTGAAAGAGATGACCATTTGATTGTCGAACGATGGTTAGAAAAGCATAGGCTATCCAGTTTTGCTCCTGAGTGCAATCATGCGTATGAAAGTCATTCAAGTTATTCAAATGAATTGCGATATTTGCAACAACACGGTTTATAGAGATCGAGAAGTTTTGCTACCATAGCAACGTGACGTAACAACTTCTCTTGTGACCCTCTCTATCACATGTTGTTTTTAGCATAACCATGCTTGATACAAACCTCTGATATTTAATTTTATATTGTAAAGTAGCTCTGCCAATGATTTTGATCTGTTATGTTTTAGTTAGTAATTGGCTAAAATTTTATTTGTGGAGGCCTTTTTCTTTTAAGTCCTATATGAAAAAAATAGACTTGGCACTTGAAACTTATTTTGTATTATTAGTTTCACTTAAGAACTAAACATGAGAGGAGGCCTGATTGGCAAGTAGCCTCAAACTCAGACGTTCTTTTGGCTAGTCACGCAATCCTGCCTTGGTATGCTGCGCTGAGCGTCGATGGAATAGCCTCCCATGCCGACGTTCTTTGTGCGGAGAAGTAACGCGTGACGAAGCGCAAAGAACGTCTGCGTGAGAGGCTAGAATTGGACGGGACAACGCACCAAAATTCTGAAGATTCAAAGTCTGAATTCCCCATCTTCTCTACCAGTTTTCAAGCCCCTTTACCCGTTTGTTTCTTCTCCTTAGGATCTTCTAAGCCTTGTTCGTATGATCTCCCAGTTCCTGAACAAGCCCCTGTCAGATGAACTCCTAAATCGCATAACAGAGCAGTGTACATTCAATGGAATGATGAAAAACGCGAAAAGTTACCTCCTGCGTGGAACGGAGGATGGACCAAAACTTCTGCGAAAGGGCGTGGTGGGAGACTGGAAGAATTACTTTACTCCAGAGCAAAGTGAGAGATTTGACAAGGAATTGTTAGCAAAATTAGACGGAACTGGATTAGAGTTTGAAATGTAGCAAACTTGTTTTCATTAAATATATTCGAAATTACAGAAGAGGCCCCTTAACACTTTGGGGAGACTGCGAAAGGATTCCTTTGCTCCAGAGCCAATGAGAGATTTGATAAGGACGGCTATACTTGAATTTGAGAACTGAAGCTGATATAATTTTTGCCAGATTGCATCAAACTTCGGAAAGAATCTGCCAACCACTTTAATGAAATAAAAAGGGTGTATCGTATACACTTTGCCCACTTTGGTCTGGAATCGGGTATGGTTTTCGAGGGAACTACGGGAGTATATGAACGTATTTAACGTTTCAATTCGAAAGAAAGAGAATTCGAACTGGATTTGATTTGTTTTGTTTGCACTCTAAGCTAAGCCAATGATAACATAATTTGTGCCTAAAGGACAGGTCTGAAAACGGATATGGAAAATGATATTTTTTGGTCTGAAATAAGGTCAGGATTTGGAGAACCGGACGGCACACCCCCACCAGGAATTCCCAGGAGTACCCCCCCGGGTGAATGGATTAAACATATTTTTCCATTTTTGCATTGAATAAATATTTCAGCCGTTGATTGGATTGAATAGATATTTTAGTGACGGATTGAATGAAAATTTAGTCATGATTAAATTGAACTGATAAAGATAGGATCAAAATTAAGTGCTTTTTTGAAAATTCAAATTAATTGGCATTATGCATAAAAGATTGGATTGAATAAATTTGCTATGGGGCAGTGTAAAATGAAGACTGCGGAATGCCTGCTGACTATTGTCTTTAGGGTTAGGAAAACAATGGGACTATTGCTGTCAAGTACTCATAGCCCACTTAATATTAATTTTGTTTTTATATTTTGTAGAGGGCCAGAAGTTTATCAGTTTTTTCATAACTGTCACGTGTTTACCCTCTTTAAATAAATGCGTTACCTTACCTTACTACGGAAATGAGTGGTAGCCTGGGACCAAACTAAGCGCGCGCGCGTTTATGGGATCGTTTGGGGGGACAGAAAACCCCGAGCAGCCACCTGGAATAATGCTGGGACATGCGACTTGCTGTGTTCCTTTGTGCCCAAATAATTCCAAGAACTCCCATGGTCTGGCATTTTATCGAATACTCAAGGCAAGACGTATTCGGCGAGAATATGTACGTTTGCTTCGGAAGGATAATTTGAATTTGAACTCCGATAGCACACGGATTTGCTCTACCCATTGGGATGGTGGTGAAAAGAGCAGTAGACTCATCTACCATCTATCTTGCTTTCCTTGGAGTAAAAAAAAAACGTGAAGGACGAATTCTATACAGGTCAGAGGCAACTTCGAATTCAAGCGCCAGGAAAAGAAACACTGACATTTCTTGTACCGAAATGGACTTTAAGGCTGACTCGGTAAATGAAGTGTCAGTTGAGTAGATTGACGTGGACACTGAAAGCAACAATGTTTCACCGACTCTTTCCTTTTGTGATGCTGAGACGCAAACTGAAATAACCGAAGAATTTCTCGATCGATTGGAAGTTGAATTAAAATCCACTGGCGAGGAAAAAGACAAATTAGCAAAAAAAAAAGACGAGTTGACTAGAGATTCAAAGAGACTTCAGCATGCACTGAAAAATCCGAAGTTTGGCATTTCAAAATTTAAGGAAAGGATGAAGATATCGAATTTTACACTGGCCTTCCACACTGGGATGCACTTATGCTTCTTTACGATATGTTACATAACAAGGCCCAGAACTTAAATTATGGCTCCTATGCGAAGAAACACACCAAAAGCTAGGGTAGGAAGACCCAGATCAATGAGTATATTTGAAGAGTTTATTTTGACTTTGATGAGAGTTAGGTTAGGTTTGTTTAAAAAAGATTTAGTACATACATAGATTCAATGTTTCAGAAAAAACCGTTGCACTGTGTTTAATACCTGGGTGCGGTTCATGAGGGTTGAACTGGAGCCCTTAATTCGCTTTCCAAGAAAAGAGGTCTAACATCAGTATTTGCCAAACATTTTTAAGGAGCTGTACCCAAGGACTGTGCTTATCATTGATGCTGTTGAAATTCGGGCGGATCAAGCCCGTCATCACTAAGATAAGCAGTCAGCTTGCTCTGTTCGTCTTACAAGGGCACAACAACTATGAAAGCGGTAAAATAGCCCCAGGCACATCCTCTTCCTTTAGCTTCACATTTTCATGTTGCTTTCTTTCGTCGCCACCTTCCCTTTGGCTGTTTTGAATTGTTTTAACCCCACTACATTTCACTTTGCTTTCCGCTATGTTTGTTTCGCGTACTCCCAAACGATCCCATAAACGCACGCGCGCTTAGTTTGGTCCCAGGCTGTAACTCATTTCCGAAGCTTAAGTGAGCTATTTGCTCGGTGAAAAATAATAGTCCGCAGTGTGCGTTACACTGACCGATTTGCTATAAACGGCTTTGCCATAATCATGGCGAACTTTCCGATATTGCAAGAAATAGAAGGTGAATGGAGATCAAGTAAAACTGTGGAAATAATGGGTTTAAGAATTCCTACGTATTTTACTGACAATCCCCAGGTACTGTACGACTACATTGTTAACCTCAAGACGAGATCAGACGACGTGTTTGTAGTCAGCTATCCCAAATCAGGTAAAAGATTGTCGTTATTTTAAAGTTGTTGCTGTTTTATCGCAGGTAGCCCAAGGTGAGGTAAACCTATAATTAGGAGATCGCTAAATAGCGCAATACACGGTTGTAAGTTATAAATACAGCATTCATTATGACTCGCCCCACTTTTAACAGCTTTAGACCTTCTCCCACGACTTTATTTCATATGCTCATCCCCACGGCCTTGAAATGGTGTTGTGACCAGTCTTGGGCTAGGAGTGACTTGACTATAGAGTTCAAAGCTACTTAAAGTTTAAACCCAGTACTGACACGTGACTTCAAACTAGTAGCTAAAGGGAAAGTATGAACCAGTAATGGGTCGGTGGTCAGTTAGGGATTCTCTTTTTCTGGGTTTCGTCATTTATTGATATAAAACTGTAGATTAAATTCTCCTCTAACTTGCCTTTCTTTTTTGTTTTGTTTTGTTTTTTTATCAAATTCAAAGTATTTTTTCGGTATCCCTACTAGCGGAATGAGCTTCCTCGCGCGTCCAGTTGTAGGGCCTCACACGTAACGCTTTCTTCCCGTTTGAGTGCGAACGTTTGCGTGATGAGCCAAAGGAATGTGTGAAAATCAGAAAGGTTTAAGCTGGTCCGTAATCTGCTTCTCTTGTTTTTGCCTGTGTAGAGCAGAGTTTAAAATACAACTCGTAGCCCACTTTTTGTACCTGGTCCTTAATTTCAAGTCTGTGTTTTATATCCAGTCCTCAATTTTTACAAAGTCCGCAGTCCGCACTCCATGTTTCAAAATGATCGGCTATGCGAAGAACTTAACTAAGAAATTGCATTTAATAAATTCTTTATCAAAAAGTATAAGTCTCAGGACCTCTCCTCGAAATAGAGACTCCTGTAGTTTTATTTTTGTGAGCAATAATTCTTTGCATTTTGAGTGGTCGTTTGGTTACGGGAGGTTCGACTGTCATTGCGACCTTGGTCCTGATTTCAAGGAGCGTAAAAGACAATATTCCCCTGAGTAATTTCATATTTCCTACACTGAGAGAACAAAACAAACAGCCATCTGCTTCGCGAATTAAGTAAAATCACTCTATGCTCAAAATTATGCTCTACTTCATCTTCAAGTATTTGGGAGCAAATACTTGAAGGAACCACGAGGACGTAGACAGTAATAGTTCTTTATAGTTTGAAAAATACGCGTATAGCCCTCGCGTCTGCCTGTTGAATTTTTCACTTTCTGTATTACTTTAAAACTTGAAAGCAATAAAACACTCACTCCAAGGGGCAAATGCGATGGCGATATGCTGCAATTGAATTCACCCTATCAAAGGAACAACAACTTGGCACGTGCAGCACAGTCCTGATACATTCCCCTCGGCCGTCACTGCACGGCTACAACCTCGGCCAATTTCACGTTTCATGGAGAACGTCAGACGTAAGGCGACGATTTTCTTTTTCTTTTTTAAACTTGCAAACCCTCCTTAAGAACTAATTTTGCTTGACAAATCGAATAAGGTGAGGTGTAATTACAAGCTCCATATTATGCTCTGACTACAATGACGTTTTTCCCTTCAAATCCTATCAATTGCAAATATACATTCCTCCACAGCAATGGTGTAGCCAGGTTTTTTTTTCCCAGAGGTACCCACAATTTTCTAAATCCATCAGTTCTCCCTCATCGCGTAAAAATCCCGGCCTGATTGCTTTCTCTTTTCTTTTGAGTATCGTGGGGTTATACAAGCTAAGAATGGATAGAATGGCAAATGGGTGGAAACATACCCTGCAGCTGCGAGCAGAGGTTTCTCTCGGCTGTAAGCGTCGAAGTCGTTCGCGTGGCATGTCTGTCTCGTAGTTGGTTTGTTTACGCGTGTAAACAAACCAACTACGCGACAGACAAGCCACGCGAACGACTTCGACGCTTACAACCGACAGAAACCTCTGATCGCCGGTTAAGGTCCTTTAGCTCCTTAAAAAACGGGGAAGAAGAAGAAAAAAATTCCTTGGTAAACATGCTACGCCTCATTTAATGCGAGTTCCAAACAATTTAAACTGAAGTGAAACCTCTGACTTTCGAGGTATTATCCAAAAGGTAAATACATCAAAGACTCAAATCTATAACAGCATTGTTCGTTTTTGGAAAAAAAAAATTGCAATTTTTCCCCCGAAGCCTGCTTGTTTATATACCCAACATATTAAGTCAATGTAAACGCCACCCCCAGATAAACGACGCCCTCTATTAAACGCCGCACCCTTCGAATAAACGGCGTACGCGCCAGAGAATGCGGTGTTTATTCGAGGATTGTGAGGAAAAACCCGGTACAACTTGGTAGAACGACACCAACAAAACAATTATGATTCTATCTCAGCAAAGCCGGACATTAGAACTTGTAATATCTTTCTGTATGATTTATCGTTGTAATTGTTGTCAGTAATGTAACAAACGTGATTTTGAAATAAATGGCGCCCTTATGCCGCGAAATCCGGCTAAAACGTAACAAAACGTTGCTCCGTATCACTGACCACAATCGTGAATAAATCTTTACAAGGGTCAGATACTGTGCATGCTTGTGCTATTCATGAACACACTGAATGTTAGACACAATGGTTTCAACGCCATCGATGTGTCCGCTGCGATCTAGGAATAGCGTCACCATCTACGCTGCGATTTGCCTGGCTGCTACGAAAAATCGAACAACGTGTCGCAAAAGATGACTTCCATCGCTCTACGATTGGTATTTCACAGCGCGAAAAGCGGCAAAAGTCGCGTCGCGAATGCTGTGACCAGCAAATGCGGCGCGAATGTCCGCAGTCAAGGAAACTAGCGTTTTACAGAACTACTTCATCCCCTTTTCGCCTGAGACAATTGTTATTTTCAGTTAAAGCTATTGTCGGGGTTTTTAGTCGAAACAGCTAACTCCAGTTGCGGGTATTTCTTCTCGAGTTCCAGGAGGATGTCTGCATTGAAATGGAATCTTAAATAATTTGTTGTCTTTTTAATTTTAAGGAACAACATGGCTTCAAGAAATTGTCTGGCAGATTTACCACAATGGAGAAGTCAACAGCAAACGAATTGAAGACCGTGTTCCATTCTTAGAAGAGGCTACTAAATCAAAAGAATTAAGACCAGACGTTGCTAGTTTACCAAGCCCTCGCCTAATTAAGACACACCTTTCTTATGAAGCTATACCAAAAGGTACAAACGAAGAAACAACGTGCAAGTACATTTACATCGCTCGAAATCCAAAAGATGTTGCAGTGTCAAATTATAAATTCCACACAAGCTTGGGTAAAGATACTGGATTGAATGCACCTTGGGAATTTTATGCCAATCTATTTGTCCAAGGAAAAAGTAAGTGATGTTTTTGTCCAGGGAGGGGGGGGGGTACTCCCTATAAGACCTATGGGGAGGCTCCGCCCCAAAGGGCTCCAAGGATATGAAAGGGTTGTGATTTCACTAGTTGAGCCTTATATGCAAAGTTAGGGAAATCGGTCATTTCGGTCTGTAGTAAAAAGGCCCAAAAGGGCTAATAGATACGTTTTTTGGCTGTAAAAGGGTCGAGAAAACGTTCTGGTATTGTGATTTATTCATATTTTAAAGACAGCGCATTTGCAGCAGTTAAAACTGAGTATGTGACAGGGGTACTATTTGTCACTAGAAGGAATATGAAGGGGGTACCTTTCTGTCAAAATTGGTATATAGATAAAGGGCTTGGACCTCAGGGCGCAACCTCCCCGTCAAGAGAGAAAAAATAGCTTAAGCAACAACAATGGCGACGGCTGCGAAAACGTCACTTAAAAAGTGAAGTCGCGCTGCTTCAAACTTTATCGCACTTATTCCATCTCGTTCAGTTCGTCAAATGTTGGCAATTTTTTCTGAAGTTGAATTTTAAAATATTGTATCGAAGTTCAGGAAAAAAATAAATAAAGTTGTTGTCTTGTGTTCACGTTTTCCACAAATCATGAAATTAGGCTTTTTCACGTCGTAGTCGTGCAGTGACGGCAAAGAAATGTACAAGAAAGCACGTGCAGAGTTGTTGTTTTGCCAGTCTATACTAAACCTATTGTTTTTTTACCGTTCTCATTGACGTCGCCGTTGTCGTTGCTCAAGCTCCCTCATTGACTCATTAGAGAGGTTAAGCTTCACGTTTACGTCAACTTGTACCACGTGACCAAATTTCCCCTTTACTTGTCGTTTGCTGTTCATTAGTTCTATGCATGAATTAGTAGTTTCACGCAATTTTGTATCCATAAGAATTGTTTTGAACCGTTCTTATCTGCTCGTTTTCTATTATGAGAAAATTTCAACTTGAATCTGACGTTTGCCGTTTGCCATATACGTGAGTACCTCCCGGGGATTTTTGTAGTTGAACCTCGGTGGTGGTGCTGGGAATCAGGAGCCCTACGTCTACAGAGCGTTTTCACATGAAGTGAAGGCGGCCATGTTGGTGTTCCAAACCAATCCTGAAAGGGAGCTGAACTCCTTTGTTTTTGTTCCAACAAATTTGCATACCGTAAATCCTCTTTTAAGCCCCCCTCTCAAATAAGCCTCTCCCTCTAATAAGCTCTCTCCTTTCCCGGGGAAGAAGGTTAATAGGCCCCCTCCTCTCTACCCCCCTTTCCTCCCCTGATTATTCTTCACAAGTGAATGATAGACTGTATAAATCAATCACGACTGTAAAACTTCTTGTGGACTGATCCAGGATGGTTCGTTTATTTACCAACTGGAACTTCGGATTTTATTCTGATCCTCGGCTGCATAAGCTCCAACCCTGAACTTGAGCTTTTCCGCTTCGTATTCTAGTTCTTTATGGAGAACTGATACCATCGTCTTTTCTAAATTAAATAAGCCCTCCTCTCAAATAAGCCCACTGTCTCTCTTAAGTTACCCTCAAATGGACCTGAAATAAATAAGCTCCCCCCCCCCCCCGGGGGGGGGGGGCTTAATTAATAGACGATTTACGGTAACTGCTGGCCACGGAAGTGACAACTCTCTGTTCTATATTAGGCATCCAAATTCGAAACCACAACCCAGACTTACTATGAAACCAGAAACTCTGATTCTTGTTCTTCTTACCAATTATTGATCGATTTCCCATAAAAATTGAAAAAAAAAGAGAACAATTTTTCATTGTCAATACATTTATAGACCATAGAAGTGACGCAATCCAAGATTTGCGCCGGCTCGTTGTTCAACTTGTAATTTGAACATTTTGATGTTATTTCTAGGGTCTTTACGAGCCTAGACGATGAAAATTATTAAATGGCCCAAATAATGAGGAAGGAACCCCACCTCTTCTCACACCAAACCGGAAAAAAACGGATTGTTTCAAAGAATCCATCAACTTACACCACAACCTGCACAGAAGGCGCTAGTTTTTCTCGTTCTTCGGGCGAGCATAGACTGCGAGCAGTCTCTCTTTTTTTTCAGATTTAGTGAGGGGAGTGCACTCGCGCGCGAGCGTCGAACGGCGAAGCCGCGAGAGAGATGCGAGAAACGAGGTCGGCAGCCCAAGAAGAAAACAGATAGGTTCTCTTTTTGTGCCTCTCCCCGTCACGCGCCCTCAGTCACGTGCGTGGTCATTTGCGTGTCTCGCACGTTTTGCTCGACGAACGAAGAAAAAGAGAGACTGCTAGTAGTCTAAGGTGAGCACGAAGCTGACGTGAAAGGAGCAAGAAAACGGCGTCTTCCCACTTCTCGTGTGTCTCGCGTACCGCGTCCGCTTCGTGCTCCCATCGTGAGAAATAGCGCCTGTTCTGTAGGCTACTTACTCAACTGTTATACGTTACAGCACTTTGGAGTCACTGGGATAAACATGTACTTGGATGGTGGAAACACAGAGATGATGCTAACGTCTTGTTTCTTAAATATGAAGACTTGAAAAAGGTTTGTAATTATATTGAACGATAACTGTTGAGCAGTTTTCAGGGGTGAATAAATTTATTACATTTGTTTTGCACTGATTAATGCTTGTGGCTAGAAGAAAAGTTTTTAACTCCAACTATGACTCGAACGTTTTCCTCTCATGAAGATCATAGTACGTTTTAAAAATCATAGGAAGTGTACCTTCTGGTATGTTGTGACGTTGTACCATTTTTTCCTGCTTCTGTTTTTTGTTATTACAAGTTTGCGCAATCGTCCCCCAGAGCAATCCCATATTGTAATTTCAGGTATGACTCACTGGCAAACCCAGAATTATCAGAAACACTAGTGAAGGCAAAACCACAACGATAAACCAGTGAGGGTCGGCTGGATCTTTAGTAGACCTGGATCGGTAAAATCTTGAGTACCAAACTTAAAATCAAAACAGTAAACTGATCCTTACGGCAGGAAGAAGGATGAAAAAAATATAAAAGGGAAACAAAAATAAGGGGTGAATTATATTTGCCCGATATTTCGGATTGAAACACACAAAACTTCAACGTGGTATGCGGCTACGTGGCTACACGAGGGGTAATAGCTTCGAAGCGGCCGGGTATTCTACGTAGCCCCGTAACCGCGTAGCCACTGCTATAGGGGTATTGCTTCGAAATGGCCGGGTATTCTGCAGGTAAGCTATTTGAGCTTCTAAAATGTCTCTTATTGCTAAGGCCATTAAAGTACATTTGTAGTTCAATTTCAGGGATCATTGATAGAAGCAAACCGTTCTAAATAGCATTTTATCAAAACACGCATTTATAATTAGATAGTCACGACTTAAGTGGCTTGAGCATCTCGGTACGGTCCTCAAGTGAAGCCTTTTTTAAACCCTTTGTTTCTTAGTCTGCTACAAAGCCGTTTTAGTGTCGTCACGCAACGCTGCTCCCCACGGGAGGGAGGAGTGTTGCGTGACGACACTAAAACGGCTGCGTAGCAGACCATTTGTTTCTTCCCTTTATAGGATCTTTTAAAACATGTTCGTATAATCTCCGAGTTCCTGAACAAGCCCCTGTCAGATGAACTGCTAAATCGCATCACAGAGCAGTGTACGTTCAATGGAATGATGAAAAACCTGAAAAGTTACCTTCTGTGCGAAACAGAAGATGGACTAAAATTTCTGCGCAAGGGTGCAGTGGAAGACTGGAAGAATTTCTTTACTCCACAGCAAAGTGAGAGATTTGACAAGGAATTGTTGGAAAAATTAGACGGAACTGGATTAGAGTTTGAAATGTAGCAAATTTGTTTTCATTAGATATATTCCAACTTTGTAGAAGACGACTCTAAGAACGTTGGGGAAACTGCAAAAAGATTGCGTTACTTCAGAGCAAAATAAAAGATTTGAGGAGGAAGTGAGGAAGTGAAAATTTCTACGAGATCTGTTTTCGTCTACTCTACCAGCAGAGTGCTTCATCCTTGTTGAGCATGTGCGTCATATTGCTAGGAGCTTCCGACCCTCCTACGGCGACGTCGCCGTGAGGGAACTTACGATCCGACAACGGTGACGTCCATGAAAACGTCGCTAAAAAATAGACATCCCCTCCTATTAAACTTTTTCGTGATTATCCCAATTCGCCCTGTCACTTAAAGAAGAGAATTTTGGTTGCACCTGAAGAGAGGGGACCGCGCCCGAGTTCAGACAGAGATGGTAGCCTTTCCGTTCCCGTAGTCAAGTAAACTTAAAATTTGGTCATTTCACGTCGTAGCTGTGCAGGGACAGCAAAGAAATGTACAAAAAAGCGTGATGCAAGTGTAGAGTTGTTGTTTTACTCATTAAACTTACTGCTCTTTTGACGTTCTCATTGCCGTCGCTATCGTAGTTTCGTAAGGTCCCTACAGCTAGGGCGGCGGCCATGACAACGACGAGCTACAAGAATCCTTCAGGGTTTTGCTTTTTCGTGCAAATTAGCTCTTTTGTTTTTAAACTCCACTGAGATTACCAAATTTAAACATGAAAAAAAAAACGAAATGAATACTGGTCCTAAGAGTAAAAAAGACGTTATCAAGCAAGTAGCCTATCAGCTCCAGAGAGTTGCTCAGTCTTCCTGTCAGGAAGAGGCCGGGTTTAGGTATGGCCTTGGTTTTGTCTTCGCCTACTAATCGCCGTCTGCTCTTTAAAGTGTATGTGTTTACCGGCCATCATGTGATCGATTTCCGGCAAATTCATTGGCCTACCGAGGCATGATTCCCGCGAAATGTTGTCGAGATGAAAGAAGAAAAGGCTGCTTTTTTGTCAGTAGTACTAGTGTTGTTGCAGTGGCGGATCCGAGGGGAGAGGCCTGGGGGAGGCTACCGAGGCCTGATTTCCGCGAAAAGTTGTCGAGAAGAAAGAAAAAAAGGGTTCTTTTTTTTCAGGAGTACTTGTGTTGTTGCGGTGGCGGGGCCGGGGGGAGAGGCCCGGGGGCCCCGGGCCCCCCCTTATCTCAGGGGTTTGATGACCGCTCCCCCCCCCCCCCCACCTTCCTTATCTGAAGGTCTGGATCAGTCACTGTGTGGTTTTGTTGCCACTGTGGTGAGTGATCGAAAATGATTTTGGTGGAAATTTTTAGTGATATGGGTTGTCTAGAGGATAATGCAGCCTGGAACTGTCAGACAAATACAGTGGCTCGATCCGTTTAATCGAGATCGTCGTTGCGATCATCGCTGGTTGCGAGGAGAAGACATGCTGGGTAATTTTCAATTTTCATGTTAAGAGCAAGTCGAGAAATTATATAGCCTCAGAAGAAAATTAGGTGTTCATATTGTTATTCGGATGAAGCTCATGCTAATTAAGAAATTAAAAAAAAAATGAAAACTAGTTACAAAGGTATGGCCCGGTCAACTTTGACGAATCACTTTGTTTAGCATTCGCGTCTTTACAGTCTGTTTTGTTAGGGTAGTCCACATGGGCTGTAGTACCATAAATACCTAGTGCATTTCCCACTCTATCAATGTAAACTAAGAGAAAGCCTGGAAAGCCGAGTTCACGCACTGGCGCGTCTTGTTATAAGTAAACAATGAGAGTACGCTTGACCAGTCTAATATGCAAATATCGCTCAAGGAGATAATTGCATAAACTGGTCAAATTATTTTTAACTCTAAAAAAGAAGTACCGTACATATTATTTGCCGCATTTCCTTTAATTTTAGATGACTAAAACTAACTTCCGATCCCTACATACTTTTCTGCTGGCAAAGTTGTTATTATTTGTAAATTACTAATGCAGTAATTTCAGGTTTTATAAGCTTCTTTCCACTATCGTCAGTAATGGATTGTTCTTCCAAAAACGTCATCACGTCTTTATAAAACGTCTCGTCAGCTGTGCCTCGGAAATCTTGGCAATGGGTTAAAAAGTCGAGTATAAGGCCTCCTTTTGTGGATGAATGATCAAAACAGCTGGTAATATCTGCATCATAGCTAGTTTTGTGCAATTGTTTATACTTCCAGTTGTTCCTCTCGGAAATGCTTATGAGGTCCACTTCCGTATAAAACTTGTGAATCGACCCCAGGTTTATTTTACCTTTTAATTTGCGCGACAGCTTTGGGAAAAAAGCCTCTTCTGGGCCAACTGTACAGAAAATGGCTCCACCCGAGGCAAGTCTCTCATAACAGTTTCTCAGAGCTTGTTCAGCATCCATGTAGTACAGTGATGCTACGAAATGAATAAGATCAAACTGCTCGATTCTATGACAAGACTCCATGAATTTTGCCAATGTTTTCTCGTGCCAGTCGAATGTGACCTTCCCCTCGAGTGCCTGGGGTAGCGGCGAAACAAGCGATCTATAACCGGCCATCAATTCAACATTTGGTTCTACAATGGTAGCGTGTATCTTAGAGGACCCTAGCGCCGATGAAGCGATAGTTAGAACTCTGATATCATGTCGCCCATTACCGGTTCCAACACCAAGAACTCGAAGCAAGGAAGGCCTAATTTTTCCGCCATCTTTGAACATATTTGCTATGACTTCAGCTGTCGTTTCTCCGACAAAGGAAGACATCGTTTTCTCTACTTCAGAGATACTTCGAAAAGCCTTACTTGTTGCCACAAAGTGATCTTTTTTGGGAATTACTGCAGCCATTTTGTTTACCGAGCTGATTCAGGAAAAACGGGAAGTTGTATGGAAGCGAGGCAATCAAAATGACGACGTAACAACAAGCCATGTGAAATAATCGAAGTGAAAATCGGCCGGATCTCACCTATATACCAAAACATTTTCATTAGATCCTGAATCAAGTAGAAAATGGGAAAGAGGAGTATTGTTGTTCGGAGCATTTCGTATGAAACGATTACACAATTAGTCTCACCGATTACACAATTAGTCTCAGCTTTCCAGCGCTATGCAGCATTCGCTGGGCTGGGACACTCTTGAAGTCCGTCGAGATCTAAACGCCGCTACCATAATGTATAAAGCTGTGCACAACTGGACTCACTTAACATTTCCAGCATCTGTCACCTTATAAGCTCATGGAAGCAATCGCCCTAACCATCCTCATAAGTTCAGACATATCTTTGCTCGCACCAATGCATATAAGTTTTCCTTTATCCCACTTGTTATTATCCCCCTTTGGAAATGGCCTTCCCAATTCTGCTGTTAATGCTGAATCTGTTACTGATTTCCAAGCTAATGCTTTGCCATCCATAAGACAAAATTGCAATGCAATGTAAATATTTCTTTGTTGTAAATAATTTAACTTAGTTTTTTTTGCCTCCTTTTCTATTTCGTCGCTGACTGTTTTAGGATCCTGTATAGTCAGATGACTTCTAGGATTAATAAAAATGTATGTATGTATGTACCGGAAAGGTAGAAAGGTCGACTTAAAAAGTACAGGAGGCATCCTTTACTGTTTCTGCTTGGTCTTCAGCCAAATCAAATGTTAAAGAAGAACGGGGACACAAGGAAAAGTATCGCATGAGGAAATAAAAAGGTCAGAAGAATCGTCAGTGAGCGATAAAGTACAAGCTGGTAATTTATAGGTCTTTCAGCGATCAAACATTTTGCTGAAGCAAAACGTTTAGAAGTGGAAATCCTTCATAAATACATGTAACTTTATAAAGCAAGAAAAGAAGGAGTAAATTTTCACGTTTGGTCTGGAACGCTTCTCATAAAACCCAGATGATATTCACTTAGTCTACACTGGGTTTCCAGATTATGAAACTTTACTTTACTTATAACGTTTTGGAAGTATATAGAACCAAGCGTTTCCCATCTGACTTATTATGGCATTGTGAGAGATGCCACCGTTATTATTCCGTAACATTTCATCCAATTTCCATACAACTGCCAGGAAATGCATGGCAACTGCAGCCTTTCCTACCAGCAGGACATAATAAATCGCACACAAGGCTGGTCCAAGTTTGAGTTTGCCAACTGGGTTAACAAATACGTACTATATTTTTTGTAGGAGGCCCAACACAAAGTCCTAACGTAAACAGCGTCGTTTTCACGCATAACATTAAGGCTCTTGACTCTGAGGGCCAGGAAGCAAATTAATTTATCCTATCTTTCGATCTTTTTATAGAGTTATAAAATCATTTCACCTTAAACTTAACTTTCGTAAAGGGCTTTTTTGTTACCGCCTTGGTTTATTCTTCTACATTTTAACCAGAATTTCACCTGGTTTACTGTAAACCTACAAATTTTTACAGTCAAGCCAGGTCAAGCGTACCCCCAAGATCCCATCATAAAATGAATTTATTATTCAAAAGTTGAATCCGTTGGTAGTTGTAGATTTGTTTCAGGTTCATCTCTGCATTCTTGCATGCGTAATGAGCCGTGAATTCACACGCGAGGGAGCTACGAAATTTCTACCAGCTCAGTTTCCCTGAATTTGAAATAAATATCTTCTATTTAATCTATTCAAAGATTTTCAATCTGACCTAATACAGGGAAGTTCTCGTCGAAGTGAACGCAATTTATGCAACTGCGTAAAGAAGCCTGACAAAAAATTCAGGACTTCAACGGGGTTTGAACCCGTGACCTCGCGATACCGATGCGATACTCTACCAACTGAGCTATGAAGCCACTGACGTTGGGAGCAATGAAACCCCGGTGAAGTCCCGCTTAGGGGTGTTAATGACAAACTTTGGTCGCGTTTAGGGTGTTGACTACTCTGCGCCCTGTGTACCTGTATGGTTAAAAATGTTGGCTTTCCCCGCTTAACGAGACTAAAGTTTGTAATTCACACCCCTAAGACGATCCCTCCCTTCTCCGGGAGTCTGGACCTCGAGGCAAAAATTATTAATGCACAAGCTGATAACCTTCACACACCCCCACCCCGTTGCTCTAGGGATCAATAAATCCCCCGGGGTTTTTATTTCAATACGCGCAAACGACGGTTTCTCAGGAGAAAAGAGAGGGTCTGTAAAAGTAAAGGAGGTGATTGTAGGAAGCCTCTTTCAGTGGCAGATCCAGGGGAGGGTTCTGGGGTTCCGCCCCCACCTTATTTTTATACCAAACTGAGGCCCGAAGAGCTGAAAAACTTTTTTTGGAGACTGCCCCCCCCCCGCCCCCTTGTCTCATGGTCTGGATGACCGGCTCCCCCTTAGCTAAGGTCTGGATCCGCACGACGCAACAAAAACCACAACACTATTCAAAATCAATGCATCCCATATATTTCCACACAGTTAAATACCTTTACAAGGGCTAAACTACTAAAGAGCTGTTACTACATGTTGTTAAGTCTCAGAGTTAGTCTAGCAGGTGTCTTACAGTTCATTGTCACATAAGCTCAGGGACCGAACTTCTTTGCGACTGGAAATGATCATCATCCTGCAATTTGGTTTGAAATTTAGCCCCGTTCCCACATCCACCCTCTTACGACCTTCTGAGCGATTTCATCTGTGGCCGGTGGTTGAACGAAAATTGAAGTCATATTGAACAAAACATAGCCTGTACCAGGCTCTCAGATACTAGGGACGTCGCAAAAACAAGGTGAAGCTAAAATAGGACGCTCATGGTCTGGGAAAGAGGGAAAGCCCAGTGCGTTTTTCGCATCAGTTTTCCCGATCTCTGCACATTGCTATCTTGGAGGCGAGAACAGGTACCCTACGAGCTGTGGTTTCTCCAGGCCGGACGCTACGCTACGAAGAGAAGATTGTTTACGTTCTTCATTAAACGCGAAATTAGGCATTTTCACGTCGTAGTCGTGCAAAAACGGCAAAGAAATGTACAAAAAAGTGTGATGCACGTGCAATGTTGGTGGTTTGCTTATTAAACCTGTTATTTTTTTTGACGTTCTCGTTGCCGTCTCGTTGTTGGATCTTTAAGTCCTTCATAACTCCTGCGAATCAAGAGGAAGTGATGTCATTTGATGTTTTAGCGTGGGCGTCACGTTAACGCGTATGCTCGATGGAAAAGCAAACGGTCACGCGTAGCGTCCACCCTGGAAAAAACCACTGCTTGCAGGGTACATAACAGACTAACAAAACATGGAAATTTCCGCGCGAGACATGCCTTTTACGGATTGCAGTCTTCTTTTGAAATCATGACAGTTCAATGAGGATCATTGAGTACGCTGAACAACGCAAACCTGCTATAACGGGACCCACTAGTTAAATCAATGTTCAAAGAATTAGGTTTTTTGTTGTATTATAGGTCATGAAGAACAAATCTACAAGTGAAAAAAATCTACTTTAAAGAGTGAAAGATTTTGCTCGTATCACCTTATATTGTTATGCTCACCATGATTTCAATAAACCTCAAACTTTTATCAAGGTTAATAACGGTACTAGGTAACATTTTCTGGGCTGTATTTTTCTTATTGCGCAAATTAAAAATACGATCTGTCCAAAAAAGAAATAATAAAACTGAGGATATAAGAAAAATGCAAGCAATAACCTCTTCTTTTTGTCCTTTTCATTTCATTTTTTGTCGGCCACCCTTCTGCATCAAAGTTATCCTTTTTCAGAGAATAACATAACATTGTCAATTTCTAACTTCCGGAAAAGGGAGGGTTGGGTGGGGTTGATAGAGTCGGGGAGAGGGGGTTAAGTTATTTATTTTGTAACTTCGTGCATTGCACGTGCCAAGTAGCCCACATTTCCTGACGTCACACCAGCGATGGAAATTCGNCTCTGCACATTGCTATCTTGGAGGCGAGAACAGGTACCCTACGAGCTGTGGTTTCTCCAGGCCGGACGCTACGCTACGAAGAGAAGATTGTTTACGTTCTTCATTAAACGCGAAATTAGGCATTTTCACGTCGTAGTCGTGCAAAAACGGCAAAGAAATGTACAAAAAAGTGTGATGCACGTGCAATGTTGGTGGTTTGCTTATTAAACCTGTTATTTTTTTTGACGTTCTCGTTGCCGTCTCGTTGTTGGATCTTTAAGTCCTTCATAACTCCTGCGAATCAAGAGGAAGTGATGTCATTTGATGTTTTAGCGTGGGCGTCACGTTAACGCGTATGCTCGATGGAAAAGCAAACGGTCACGCGTAGCGTCCACCCTGGAAAAAACCACTGCTTGCAGGGTACATAACAGACTAACAAAACATGGAAATTTCCGCGCGAGACATGCCTTTTACGGATTGCAGTCTTCTTTTGAAATCATGACAGTTCAATGAGGATCATTGAGTACGCTGAACAACGCAAACCTGCTATAACGGGACCCACTAGTTAAATCAATGTTCAAAGAATTAGGTTTTTTGTTGTATTATAGGTCATGAAGAACAAATCTACAAGTGAAAAAAATCTACTTTAAAGAGTGAAAGATTTTGCTCGTATCACCTTATATTGTTATGCTCACCATGATTTCAATAAACCTCAAACTTTTATCAAGGTTAATAACGGTACTAGGTAACATTTTCTGGGCTGTATTTTTCTTATTGCGCAAATTAAAAATACGATCTGTCCAAAAAAGAAATAATAAAACTGAGGATATAAGAAAAATGCAAGCAATAACCTCTTCTTTTTGTCCTTTTCATTTCATTTTTTGTCGGCCACCCTTCTGCATCAAAGTTATCCTTTTTCAGAGAATAACATAACATTGTCAATTTCTAACTTCCGGAAAAGGGAGGGTTGGGTGGGGTTGATAGAGTCGGGGAGAGGGGGTTAAGTTATTTATTTTGTAACTTCGTGC